GTCAAATAACTGGTTATTTCATGCTTAAGTTAATTACAAATTAATTCACATAATAATATAATTAGAGGATTATTCAGGTTCTTGAATAAACTTCTGGTTATAAACAAAGGTGTTTTCTTGTTCTTATTGCTAAATTTGGTGATTTGAGTCAACCGACATTTGATTCTTGTCTAAGATTGAAAACTAAGTCTTTAATCATTATTGTATGGATTTGAGAGGGAGTACCTGATGCTTTAGTATTTTTCACACTGTTTTAATTACTCTAATCAATTTTCTCAATTCAAATATTATTCAAGACAAAGCATTTTCACAAGTTTTTCTTTAGAATTCTAGTGTGGTTTCTGTTGTTTTCTGCCGTCCGGACGCAATTTCCGGTATGCTCCTCTTTCTCAACCTTAATCTTCCGTCACTTGCGTCCGGACGCCATGCAATTCCCAATCCGGATGGGACTTTTAGTATGTTTCTTTCCTGCAGCCTTCAGTTTCTACCTCTTACGTCCGGACACGTATTAGTCTACCGTCCGAACACGTTTTCTATTGTGCTTCTTTTTAAATTTGCTCCACTTTAATTTAATTTCTTCCAATTTATAGCTATTATCCTGCAAAATAAACACAACTCATCATTTATTAGCATAACATCAGTTCTTTAATAAATTATCATATTTACCAACTTTTCCTAACCAAATAATTGATCTTTTCTAATAAATAATGTAAATATTAGACCTTAATCATGTAACTAAACTCGTATTAATACAAATGAGATTTTTGCTTTGCAAGTTCAATTGTTATATGGTATCAGAGCCTAAGACCTGTTCGTGTAAATTCTTCTTCAGCACATCATGAGTTCTTCATCTGCCACTTCAAATCAAATGTCGTCACTTCCCAACACCCTATTTCCCCCCTCATCACCACATACAAATACCCTTACAACCAAACTTTCTTCAGACAATTATCGCCTTTGGCATTCTCATATTATGCCTCAACTTAGTGGTCATGGTGTTCTTGAATATGTGGATGGATTTTTCCCTTCTCCACCAAAATTTATTTCTTCCTCCTATGGTCCTTCTTCAATGTTGAATCTTGAGTATGTTTCATGTCACCATCAAGATCAACTACTTTTGGGTTGGTTGATTGTCTCCCTCACAAAGGAAGTTCATGCCAAAGTTGTTAGACTCTCTACTTCTCATGAAGTTTGGATTGCTCTAACACCAACACAAAGGTTCTCGTGATACCCATGGTTGTGGTCGAGCTTGAGGTCGTGGACAACATCCCTATCCTTCAGAATTTCTCGTGCACATTCTGCCCAACATCAAACCTATCAAATTTGTAATCATTCTGGCCACATTATTGCCCTTCAATGCTACAATTGCTTCAATGAAGCCTATCATATGCTATCTCCTCTTCCTATGTAAGCCTACAATGCTATAGCAGATCCATCAGCCAGCTCTAGTTGGTTTTCAAACTCTGGTGCAACACACCACATCACTTCTAACCTCGCCAACCTTAACCTATTCTCTGACTCCCATGAATCGGATACTGTAAAAATTGATTGGATCAGGTTTGCCCATTGCTCATATTGGAACATCCTCTGTTCACATATCTTTGTCCAATTTTGCTGTAAGAGGCATTTTACATGTTCCTTTTGGTTCAACAAAACTTACTTTCAGTTCATAAATTTGCTACTGATAATAACTACTGCTTCGAATTTTATCCATCATATTTTTGTGTCAAGGATCTATGCACAAGGAAAATTCTTCATCAAGGCCCGAGCCTTAATGGCTTATATGAATTTCACTTCAATAAACATTCATCATTCAACAATAAAGATACCCTCTTACATAACTCTTTCGTTCGGTGGCACGAGAGACTTGATCATCCTGCTTATCGAATTGTTTATCATGTACTTCGACAGATTGGTACTCCAGCAAAATCGAGTTCAACATGTGTGTTCAGTATGTCAAATGGACAAGAGCCATGTTTTTCCATTCCCCTCACCTTCCACCCTAGTTTCAGCCCCTCTAATTTGATTTACTCTGATGTACTAGTTTCTCCCATCCCTTCTTTTAATGGACATAATTTTTATGTGCACTTCTTGGATGNCAGTTCAGCATGTGTGTTCAGTATGTCAAATGGACCAGAGCCATGTTTTTCCATTCCCCTCACCTTCCACCCTAGTTTCAGCCCCTCTAATTTGATTTACTCTGATGTATTAGTTTCTCCCATCCCTTCTTTTAATGGACATAATTTTTATGTGCACTTCTTGGATGCTTATAGTAAATTTCTTTGGATTTTTCCAATTGCCAAAAAGAGTGATGTGTTAAGCTGTTTTATTCGCTTAAAAAATTCAGTTGAGAATTATTTTTCCAAGAAGTTTAAATTTTTGCAAAGTGATTAGGGAGGCGAATATCGTTCCATCTCATCTTATATCACCTCATGTGGTATTGATCACCATGTCTCATGCCCTCACATGCACCAACAAAAATGGNGCTTAAAAAATTCAGTTGAGAATTATTTTTCCAAGAAGTTTAAATTTTTGCAAAGTGATTAAGGAGGCGAATATCGTTCCATCTCATCTTATATCACCTCATGTGGTATTGATCACCATGTCTCATGCCCTCACATGCACCAACAAAAATGGCGCCATGGAACACAAACATTACCATATAGTGGACACTAGCCTTGCCCTCATGGCTTATGCATCTATCCCTACTAAACTGGGACTTCGCATTTGAAATGGCAGCCTACTTAATCAATCGTTTACCCTCCATAATGATCCAAAATTTGTCCTCATTGGAAAAACTATATTGTTCTTGATTGGATTATGCTTTTCTTAAAGTTAAACAATCATCTACTTCAAAAACTTAAGTTTTTAGAGAGGGCGTAACTTAAATATTTATCTTTTAACACGTTCTCTTACGTGTAGGCTAATATTTGGGTCTCGCACATGAAAATCTTTTAATAATTAGGGTGGCGGTGAGATTAGAATATATGACTTTCTGCTCTGATATCATATTAAACAATCATCTGGTCTAAAAACTTAAGTTTTTAGAGAGCATATAACTTAAGTTATATTTATAGTTCAAAATATAACTTTGCTTGTATTGAGGAATTGAATAGGCCAACTTATATACTACACTGGGATTTAGGTACTANTACGTGTAGGCTAATATTTGGGTCTCGCACATGAAAATCTTTTAATAATTAGAATGGCGGTGAGATTAGAATATATGACTTTCTGCTCTGATATCATATTAAACAATCTAGTCTAAAACCTTAAGTTTTTAGAGAGTATATAACTTAAGTTATATTTATAGTTCAAAATATAACTTTACTTGTATTGAGGAATTGAATAGGCCAACTTATATACTACACTGGGATTTAGGTACTATCCATGAAAACAATGGTCCACTGCTTACCTATCTTTTGGTATGAAACTTAGGATACCATTAGTGACACATGTTGGTGATTGAATGCATTTTAGAATTCAAATTGTATGTAAGTTTTACATTGAAGTAATTAACTTATTAGTAGGACTAAAACACCAATACAACTATTCTTCTAGTTGATGTTAATGGGTTGTGTCATGCAGANGTATGAAACTTAGGATACCATTAGTGACACATGTTGGTGATTGAATGCATTTTAGAATTCAAATTGTATGTAAGATTTACATTGAAGTAATTAACTTATTAGTAGGGCTAAAACACCAATACAACTATTCTTCTAGTTGATGTTAATGGGTTGTGTCATGCAGATTCGTGTAAATTTAATTATGTCAAAATATTTATTTAACAAATATCTGAGTCATTTATAATTGGTCATATCCATTGAAAACATTCAATATAATTAGGACGGAACCAAAAAAAAATAAAATTCATAGTCTCAATAATGACAAGTTGACACGTACAAATCAAAAAATAATACAAATCAAAATTCTATCGTGTCAACTTTATATTATGTATAATGCATGTTTAGTCANGAAACATTCAATATAATTAGGACGGAACCAAAATAAAATAAAATTCATAGTCTCAATAATGACAAGTTGACACGTACAAATCAAAATTCTATCGTGTCAACTTTATATTATGTATAATGCATGTTTAGTCATATTTAACTAAATTTGTATCACGTTATATGAATTTATGTCGATTCATTTAGTTTAGGAGTCGGACAAATTCATTTGTTTGCCATCTACATTCATTATACTTAGATCTAAACTAGTCAATTTAATATTAATTTCACATCTTTTTGACAAACCGCATGTAAAATTGCAACAAAAAAATGGTACGAAATGATAAAGTAATGCGCAGACCNATTCATTTAGTTTAGGAGTCGGACAAATTCATTTGTTTGCCATCTACATTCATTATACTTAGGTCTAAACTAGTCAATTTAATATTAATTTCACATCTTTTTGACAATCCGCATGTAAAATTGCAACAAAAAAATGGTACGAAATGATAAAGTAATGCGCAGACCAGGGGATGCGGCGAACAAATAGAATGGGCCCCATAGTCACCAATTCACCAGTTGGAGCATTATTATTGGCTGCCATTTCAGCCTCCATATCTATTCGTGTACACTTCTTTTACGATTATTATTATCATCTCCCGAAAAAGGAGGGAAAAAAGATAATCACACTTTGTACACAAAACTATTTAAAAATATTTATTTTGTATCTTTTAAAATTAAATTTTTGACATTATACCTTTAATATACTAAAATTATTATAATGTGACATTGACGTTAACTTTTATTATTTATTCCATTAAAAATTATCTATTAGTTTTACCAAAATGTATAATGTGATCTAACTTTTAATATACTAAAGGTATAATGTGAAAATTTTAATAATTTACGGTACAAAGTGATAATTTTTAAATCTTCAGAACAATTCGCCGAAAAAAAAAGGGGAAAAAGCCTTCAATTTCTTTTCAACAGACGAAGTCGAGAATCGTTTCCATTGATTGGAATCACAATCTTGTGGATATTTTCTCGATGGATTCGTTTGAAGATAACAATTGGGATTTAATCGATTACAGTAGCTTCATCGACGACGTCGCACCCGCCGATCTCTACTGGACCAATCAAAGGTTCATCATATTCTTTGTTATTCTCTGATTATATTGATATTATGCGATCAGATTTTCGAATTGTTTCCTAAAGATAATTAAAGGGTGATAATAGATTCTTCGAATATCAATGCTGACACAAATTTCAGGGTTATTTTTTTTTGGGTATGGGAAAAGGTTTTTTGAGCAAATTTTGTCGGAGGATGCATGTGGATCTTTGTCACTCTTTGTTATTCTCTAATTATATTGATATTATGCGATCATATTTTCGAATTTTTTCCTAAAGATAATTAAAGGGTGATAATAGATTCTTCGAATATCAATGCTGACACAAATTTCAGGGTTAATTTTTTTTGGGTATTGGAAAAAGGATTTTTGAACAAATTTTATTGGAGGAAGCATGTGGATCTTTGGTATGTGTTTGGCAGCATGGGAAGAGGATCTTGGAATTGGAATTGAGGAATAGAAAGCTCAATATTTGTATTGAAATAATTCTATTTTCTGTTTGCAAGGCCCAAAATTCTGTTCTTCCAAATGGGGCGATACACTGTGAAGTTAAAATAGAATTCAGGAACTAGTGTTATTTGGATAATTGGGTTGTGAAAAGATTAGGGTTGAATTTTAGGGATTTGGGTCATCTAAGTTTTGAAAATTTGTCAGTTTTGGTGAAGTTTATTAATCTTAGGTGGAATTAAGTGGGTTCCACTAGCCACTAGGTGTCAGTGAGACCTATACTTTTGAGGAATTCAATGGTTGATGATAAAACTTGAGCGAAATTGACAAATTTAAATTTAAGAGGAGCCGGATCCATACTAGCATGCCACCATTTATAAGCTACTTGGCTTTCAAAAGATGAGTCGAGATATTTCTTAAATTGCAGCTACTTCTTTTTTAATATTTCAAACATAATCTTATGTCCATTCCAAATTTGAAATTCTCATGTTCATGACATTGGCATGATAATATTTTCAATATATATGTGTTGATCTGTTGGGTTGTATGGTTGCAGAGCTAATGTGCAAATCAATGCATCGCTAATTGCTGGTACATCACAAGAGAAAGAATGTGTCAGGGAAGAATGCCCACGAAAGAGGTACTCTACTGTTTAACTATACATATGTGTGATAGCATTTTGTTCCTCTTACTGAGAGAGCTCTCATATTTCTGTTTTGTGGTTCTTGAGAAGGCTGAGCTTTATATGTAGATGCTTGCTGAAAAATGAAAAAGGCATGTGTATTCTACAATATTGTGGATATTACCATAAGCTCACTTGATTTTAGGGGGGAAAATTGTGTATTGCCTTGTCTAGTGGATTTACTAATAGTTCCAGATTTTGTTTCATCTTTGTCTATGTTTTCAGATTATGTTCATGGTAGTAGAAATGTTACCACCATATCATAGTTTCAGAGGGATCACTAAGTGATGTATTTGATCAAAATTGTTTAATGACAAAAAAAAGAAGAGATCATAATTGGTTGAATGTCTTGTTGGATTAGTAAACTACCTTGGAAATACCACTATGTTGCATGCACGCTATGGTTCAAATAAGTGAAGTGGACAACACTCTTAGCATGTAGTATGACCCCCACATAAACATTTACAGACTTTCTAGTGAATTGCACAACATAGATATATGATGAGTCTTAATTTGGCCTTTTTTGAATTGCCCAACATAGTATATGATGAATCTTAATGTGGCCTTTTGGAGCTGTAATCTTCTATGATTATAGACTTAATTAACTATATACCTTAATACACTTCTCCATTATTGTCAGAGTTATTTAAGGCATAAGGCAAACTTCAATGCTAAGATCTCTAGATGTCTAAGCGAGAGGCAAGACAAGCGCTTCATCAAACCTTTAAAAAACCTAGTAAGTATTTTATTATTACATTCTAATGACTAATATTCAAGTTCCAACTTTTCAAATACGACTAAAAGCGTAAACATCCAGCNTGCTTCATCAAACCTTTAAAAAACCTAGTAAGTATTTTATTATTACATTCTGATGACTAATATTCAAGTTCCAACTTTTCAAATACGACTAAAAGCGTAAACATCCAGCTTCAAACAAACACCAATAACATATCCGTTACAATTCAATGATCCAATCAAATAAGCAATTACTTAGATTTATTAATCAGTTAGGCTCAAGAATCTAATCAAATAAACAATTAATCAGTTATGATTAGGAAACCAATTGATTAAGCAATTAAAATTGATGTTTATAAATTTATTGGACTTATAATCAATTAATTGGACTTATAATTGGTATCCATTAATTTGTCAGACTTAAGTTCAAGATTCTATTCCCATCCACAATTAAGTAATTAAATATTTAATCAATTAAAGTTCTATCTTCAATAAAAGTTATGAATCAAACAATAGTAGTTAATTACTTAATTATTTAGAGAGACGTTTAATCTTGTAAGTTAGTTCATCAAAATCAACCATAAAATATAAAAAGTCACAAAAAAAAAAAAATTAAATAGTGAAGAGTTCACCTCCGTCGCATTTCATTTTAGCATGAAGCGCTCGCTTTTCTCGCCTTGTCTCACTTGAGACCACTTCAAGAGAGTATGCCCAGTGTCAGCTGGCATAAGATCTAGGTGCACTTTTGAGAACATTGCCCAAAGTACAATTCATTGTCACCGGATTATATTTTTTACAAGTTCCAATCATGCAATTATTGAGATGCACCATTTTATAGCTCAAAAACTTTGTCAACTCACACTTGAACATTAATACAAATACTTGGTTGGCATTGATGTTCCTGTATTGGATACAATACTCGTCGGATATTCGAGGATATGTGTCGAATACACCTCTTATGTATCTGATAATAATAAAATATTTGAANCTGGCATTGATGTTCTTGTATTGGATACAATACTCGTCGGATATGTGTCGAATACACCTCTTATGTATCTGATAATAATAAAATATTTGAATACTTCTCGCATACTTTTATATTTGACCATGTATAATTTTTAAATTTTATCTTTAACATCTCGTTTTGAATTCACATACCATATGATAGATTAACAAAAATTCATGCTAATTTTGGAGATAGGTNTTGGCATTGATGTTCCTGTATTGGATACAATACTCGTCGGATATTCGAGGATATGTGTCGAATACACCTCTTATGTATCTGATAATAATAAAATATTTGAATACTTCTCGCATACTTTTATATTTGAACATGTATAATTTTTAAATTTTATCTTTAACATCTCGTTTCGAATTCACATACCATATGATAGATTAACAAAAATTCATGCTAATTTTGGAGATAGGTGAGTTTCTTTTTTTTAATAATTATCTACTATTACATGCGAAAAGTGTATAAAACGAATCTATTACATTATAATCTTATCAACAAGTACCTCTAAATAAACCAGCTAAGTGAATGTTAATTTTGATTCCTTTAATTAGTCACTTCACTTTATAAATATACCATGATAATATGATATATTTTTTTGAAACTAAAAAAAATTGCTAATTTTCCTTATTATGTTAAAGAATTACCAAAATATATAATTATTAATCGANCTCTAAATAAACCAGCTAAGTGAATGTTAATTTTGATTCCTTTAATTAGTCACTTCACTTTATAAATATACCATGATGATATGATATATTTTTTTGAAACTAAAAAAAATTGCTAATTTTCCTTATTATGTTAAAGAATTACCAAAATATATAATTATTAATCGATAGATATGAAATATATTTTATTGTAGACATATCTCTGTCGTATCTATAACTTACTTATTTAGAATTTGTCGTATCCTTACCATATCTTACCCGTATCTTGTATTTTTTTCCTTGCTTCATTGCTTTCCTAGTTAACTACGGTTCTTCTCCCTCTGAATTTCTAAGATAGTTCAATTGTTGGGGATGATCCATGAGTGTTTTTTGTGCAGTTGCAAAGCCAAAAAGTTTTTATGGTAGTATCATTAACAAAATTTTTCTTGTAGTGTCATTAACAAAATATTCTCCACTGGTTACACAATGAATCTTGTGATGTAATTATTTTTCTTTCAAAATTTTATCTGAAATGGAAAAACTGATCAAAAATTAAATAACATAGTCAAATGAATTTCCATGTAATTAGATATGGCTTTGTGTATTGACAAAAGTATCGAGCAATGACACTTTCAATCATCAAAGAACGAGTTTATGAAAATCTTTTCTAGTATGAAGTCCTAACTTTGTGTGATAATCACCATAGGTTTTTGGGGTAGGAAATGAATCTTGAATTATAGTTGATTTTCTTTTTGATAATTAATCCATAGTGGCAAAAGCATCCACAACTTAAGTTATATGTTCAATACAGATTTATATTTGTTGAATAAAAAATTAAAGAGGATGGTAGACATTTGTTCCTGTAATTTATTTTTAGATTTTTAGAAATCAGAGGAACAAAGCAAAGCTCGAAAACCGAGGTGGGCAAGTGTTAATATAAACCTTAGCACCATTAAATCTTCATGTTCGATGATTATATTGTTTTGCTTTCACCTAGCATCATGCTTTGAGTAAATTGATTCATATTGCCAAGTTATAGGAAAGTACGAGAAATATGACTTATTCTTATGAATTTTTGGACACACATAAGGTATGAGGTGTAATTTTCTACTATTGACTAGATTGACCCTAATGTGGTAAAGTAGGAGACAATATTAATTGGCAATTAGTGGATTGACCCATCAGGTATATAAACTGAACTTTGGTGTACCTAATCTTTCAATGAGGGAGATAGGCTCTTCTCACACGCTCCCTCTTATCTGTGACGCAGGCTCGCAAGTGGACTGACAAACCAAATTGAAACAGACAAATAGATTGGAGAATTCAAATGGATAAGAGATTTTTTCATTGAATGGAAACAGATAGACAAACATATCGAGACCAAAAATAGGCAGACCAACAAAACAGGAAATATGGATGAGAAACTTGACCTAGTTGTTCTAATATGTCATGTCATCCAACCCAAAATCAGTTGGTAATGAGTAAAATGACCCCTCAAGGGTGTGCTTGGTATTTTTAAATCTTGTCTTGTTAAGAAGTCGTAAAAGGGTCTTGATATCCCTGCAATTCCTACCAAAATCTGTAAACTAAGATCCCTGCGTTTCTAATTTCACGTTACTTGGTCTGGTTTCACGTTCTTTTGATTTTTTGCAGCAATTATTATTATTTTTTTAGCCTTAGAGTTAGAGTGATGAAATTAATTTGTCGATACATAGAGAACTAGAACTTATCACTACTTATCTTTATCCAAATGTAATTTTGTTTCTAAGATTTTGTATTCCAAATAACTTTCATGACTTACAGATGTATAGATTTTGAAGGTTAATTGAGTGGGCAAGTTCTTTGTTTCTTAGCTTATTTGTGAAATAATACATTTTTTTCGAGGTTGATAGATCCACATACTATTAACTTCATTCGAAACCAACTTCCATGGATAATAAATAGTTTGATGCTGAAAATAGGCATGTGATTAGGTGAATGAAAAATTGAAGAGCAACAAATTAAATTGTAATTAGGGACTTTTAACCTCAAAGGAAAGAAGCAGAATCAGATTGATAACTCCATGATCATGTACTGTCCTTTTTGTATTTTTGGTTTTAATGTTTCTTTGAGCATTGTATTTAGGTTAGAAGCCTTATATGGATGGTGGGGCCATTCTGTATACTCTGCATGCATCAGGGACTGTTGCTGGCAATCCCCTTTTTCGTGGATTTTATGCTACTAACGAAAACTTTAAGAAATGCTTTTGAGTCAAGCTCTTTATTTTCCTCTTGTTCTGACAATGCTGATGTAATGGTGTGCATTTTTCCCTTTATACTCATGATTGTTTTCCATTGGTGGTTCTTAAAAGGGGCCGCAATGACCAATGCAGCAGACTAGAGACCAAAGCTTGCCGCGAGAGACTCCGGAGGGAAAGATTAAATGACAGGCAGGCAACTTACTGATCAGATCTTTAGCTCATCCCATTCTAGTGAACATGGACATACATATATTGTGGTATATACCTTTGATGTAAAAGAAAGTGGGTGCACCTCTATTTTCCATTTAATCGGAGAGTCTTTATGCAAGGGTTTAAGAAATCTTGCACTCCAGGCTGCATATATTCCATTGGTAACCAGATTAAATGAAGGGGAAAAATTACATGATGCTTGCAGTGTTCTGAGTACTTTAAATCTGTGATATGCATGAAACAAATTCAGCATGCAGTTCTCTCTTTTAAGAGAGGAGGGCTAAGATCATTTGATAAGCGGTTATATATGATGATTTCTGATATTTTGATGGATTAATTTTGTCCATCCCTCATGCAGGTTCTCAGAGTTGTGCTCTATTTTGGAACCTGGGAAACCTGCTAAAATTGACAAACTGGCCATACTTGGTGATGCCATGCGAGTTTTGAACCAGTTAAGAACTGAATCTCAGGATTACAAAGAGACGAATGAAATGCTGTTGGAAGAGATGAAAACTTTAAAGGTCAGTCATGTTTCTATGCCATTTTAATGAGAATATCTTGCTAGTATTTTTTCGCTGCCATATGATACGATGCCCTCTGCATCTAGATGCTGGACAACCAAAACAAGATATAATTAATCTAAAGTTGAGGCTGATGAGTGAAAGGATGGTAGACCTATGAAACGAAGATTTATACATTTAGGAAAACCAGCTACATAAAACTGGTATGTGGGCCTAGTAGTAACAATGTCTTTTTTATCTGAATGTGATACATGTAATGGATTAAGGATATACTAATTCTAATAACAACAAAAGTTTAGAAAAAACTAAATATGATAAATGAATTCTACCATCCACTGTATGAATCATAAGTGTGTTTTCCAAGAGTTCGCACTGTGGGTTTGTTCAAATGTCCTTCTATTGGAATTGGTACTGCCATGAGCCGCAAATAATAGGTTATACAACATTATGGAGTATAGAGCTATTCTTTACCTACCATTAAGTATATCCAATTGTTTAAAGGTTACTGCCATAAGCAGCCAATGGTAGGTCATAGTGTACTATAGGGAATATTGGTTTCTTTTACTGAGAAAGAATATAACTTCTCCTCAGGAACCCATCTTGTCCTTCCCACACCCACACTCCTCGCCCCCCCCCCCCCAGAAAAAAAAGACGAAAAGGAAAGAGAACATCTTCATGGAAAAAGAAAGAACTCACTGCAAAATGTTCGGTACATTATGCCATAAAGTCTCTAGTATAATATGTTTCAAGTATGCATTTAAACAAAAGAAACACCCAATTTTTTCAATGTTCTGACTTGCAAACACACTATTCCGTACTTATGTGTTAAGTTTTGTTTTTGTAGATCATTTCAACCAAATCATTTTGCTGTTCTCCTTCTAAAACAGGCGGAGAAGAATGAACTTCGTGCAGAGAAACTTATACTGAAGGCAGACAAAAAAAGAATGGAGCAGCAGTTGGAGGCCATGACTATTCCACCTGCTGGGTTTATGCCAGCCCACCAAGCAACGTATCATACTGGTACAAACAAGATTTCAGTTTTTCCTGGCTATAGTTTCGCTCCAATGTGGCAGTATCTACCTCCAAGTGCCTGTGATACATCTCAAGATCATGAGCTCAGACCGCCTGCTGCTTAGTAATTTTGACAAGAGTACGTACTTGCACCATTTTCAGATGTTTTATCCTGCAAGTTATGAATGTGACCCTCTTTTAATTGTAAATAGAAATGCTATTCCAATTCACCTTTATCCTGGAGCCCAGTTTCTCTTGTTTTTTATGATTCAAGTAGTGCCCTATGTACAGCAATAGGCAAGAAATCAAGTTGGATGCAATTTATTTGCTTCAATAATTTTATTTGTTTTCAAGTTGTCTTCCATTTCTAGGATTTTAGTTGCATTTTATGAATTTTCTATATCGGGAACTTTTTAATGGTTGTGTCACAGGCTTTGGTGTTCATGGATTGAACTGATGAGGCAAAGTCTCTTTTGATATAAACTTCAATCTTGGAAATTGCAGAAGCAAATGAATTGTAAAGAATTCCAGAGTTATCTACATGGATTGTGAACCCCTCACACTGGCAGTACACAGCAATAATATTGTGCTACTAAGATTCTGTTAAATGTCTTGAGGTTTATGGAGCAAATTCACTTATTTTTTGATCGGAAACCTCTTTGAAAAGTTCATAGTTCATGAAGAATAAAGTGTTTATTGGAGGATTCAGCTGCCCCATCGCCCCCCACAAATTCTGCTTTAATCGTATGCCAACGCTCAACAATAAGTCCATGTTCATTAGTGATTTGACAAGTTTTGCGCTAGTTGTCAACTACCTAACTAAACCCTTTTCTTTAACTAGGTGTGGGACTGGTGTATAAAAGATAGAAAAAAGCACAACACAGGAGATGTTATATGTCCGCAACAAAATTAACATTAAAAATCTGTTTTCTCTTCTTCAAAATGACAGTAATTTGATTGTGATCATTCTTGATCAGTGCACGGTAATGTAAATGAAGTAGAAGGAATGATGTGAGCCATACAAATATACAATNTGAAAAAAGCACAACACAGGAGATGTTATATGTCCGCAACAAAATTAACATTAAAAATCTGTTTTATCTTCTTCAAAATGACAGTAATTTGATTGTGATCATTCTTGATCAGTGCACGGTAATNGTTTGTTGTACATTTTCAGAAGAAACCCACCCATATGAAAAGAACTCTTACAAAAGATCAGGAGTTAGACTTAAAACCTGCATTATGTACCATATAGACCATGTTATGCAGCTTGTCACTGTAANTCAGGATATCTTGATTCAGTCTGCTTTCACTTGTGTTACTTCATTATTTTCTTATGCCCATCTTCAGTTTAATAACCTTTTTATTTGCTTAAAAAAGGAATGCCATAAATTTTAAGGTTCTCCATGTGAATCCTTTGCAGTTGAATTGAATATTTGTGTTTTAGGGTCTGGATGCTGTTCNTGGATGGCTGTGTTTCCTCTAAGGTGGATTAGAGGATGCCCTATGTTTTTTACATTGGGCCCTTTGTATAGTGTCATGGTCATGACACCAGCCAAGGAAACCAAGGTTCCAAGAATTNATGTAAATGAAGTAGAAGGAATGATGTGAGCCATACAAATATACAATAAATCAACCAAGATTCATTTCATACAGAGTATCAAGCATTATATGCAATACAAGATAGATCATACACTTAGTATAGGGAACCTCGTTGAAGTTTCTTGGTTTTTTTGGAAGCAGAACTTGATGCAGCTTCAGTCCCAGAACACATGGACACACAAATACAAAGAACAACCCAACTTGATGCAGCTTATCCACTGCAGCTTTAGATGTAAAAACTAATATCTCCACCAAAGTACTTTGAAGCTTCAAGTCAGGATATCTTGATTCAGTCTGCTTTCACTTGTGTTGCTTCATTATTTTCTTATGCCCATCTTCAGTTTAATAACCTTTTTATTTGCTTAAAAAAGGAATGCCATAAATTTCAAGGTTCTCCATGTGAATCCTTTGCAGTTGAATTGAATATTTGTGTTTTAGGGTCTGGATGCTGTTCATAAGCAATACAAGATTGCTTCTCTGCACTTATCTGTGGCTCTTGATCATGTTCTTTGCCCCATAATAGAAAGTACAGGCCAGCAATGACAACAACTCCCCCTATTATACTAAACGAAGGCAAAGATGTTAGAATATTCATTCTGCTGCATCTCTCTCTCACAGTATATGCATGTAAAAGGTATCGGTAAGATCAATCATGCATTATTTTGCCTGCAACATGCCTGTAAGTACAAATGACTGGTTTAAATCTTAATTTACCTCCCACATAAAGCTTTTCGTCAAGGACAAAGTATGCTAGAACTGCCACTAGTAACGTCGAAAGGGGATTAAACATTGTCACAAAAACTGGTCCCTTTTCTTCTGTGCATCATAACTGAACGAAGATTATCAATCCTGAGACCACTACTCCTTGCAATGCATGAGTATGTTGTTAATTTAATGAAGAGTTTGTGTTAAATTGCTGAACTTCCACTCAGTACTCACACCATATTTCGTAGACCACAAGTCAATGTTGAAACCAATTGTCCAAGCTGCTCTTTTACGTTGTATGAACACTGTGAAGACAGCTGATTGTGCTGCTCCCACAAAGCTCATCCATGTAGTCAGTGACAATTGTGCTGGGTATCTTTTCAATGTATATGCCTGTGATTTTTAGGAGATATATGAAATTAATGGTATGTCAACATGTTACATGTTAATTCCAAAAACTGTCTTCCATTGAGACAACTATCATAGTTACTCTTGTCTACTCATTTGAAGAGGATGCATATAGAATATCAATTGCAATTTCTATATTGTACTTTGGCTAGGAAACGTTGTGTCCTGATGCTGTTGGTTTTTTCATGATGTAGTATTTTGTTGTACATTTTCAGAAGAAACCCACCCATACGAAAAGAACTCTTACAAAAGATCAGTAGTTAGACTTAAAACCTGCATTATGTACCATATAGACCATGTTATGCAGCTTGTCACTGTAAGTACTGAACCCTTTAACTAGTTCTCGTGGATGGCTGTGTTTCCTCTAAGGTGGATTAGAGGATGCCCTATGTTTTTTACATTGGGTCCTTTGTATAGTGTCATGGTCATGACACCAGCCAAGGAAACCAAGGTTCCAAGAATTTTGGCTATTCCACGAGGGCTTCGAATATCTAGAACCTCCAACCTGCATGAACTTGTTTTTTTCAGATAAATAATTGAAATAAAAATCTATATATGTCTGTGTGTGTGTGTGTGTTTATATATATAATTGTGTACATGTAAAGCTCTCATGGATTACCTGAGTATAACCGCCAATACAAAAGTTAAGGAAGCTATGGTGTTCACCATTGATGCAAGGAACGCTTGAGAGGTGAATCTTAAGCTTGCAAAATACATGTTTTGAGTCAAACCCACCCTGTGATCATTGCAAGAAACTTTTTTATTTTCCCATAGATGATCTAGAAACATAGATTCTTTGTGCTCTTACCCAAGAAGAGAGAGAACAAAGATCTCCATGAGTAGAGACAGTGTCAGCTTTGTTCTGCAGAAAAAGAAAATGATCATTATCTGTTTGGCTGACCTGAATGAAAATGTTTGAACTCATACATCAACTCCTCCTTTGTAAATGTAGTGGCAATTGCTAAGTAAGCTAGAACTGCAGTGTTTATTCTGTTGCTTTAGTGGATGGTAATTAAAGTAGACAATGCATGTTAGGAAGATTTAACATGATTTACAACATATACCATGCGAACATAAATTTCCATAAATGCATGCCTACTCAATTCCTATACTTGTTTCAGATCTGAACTATGTAAATACAGTAGATACCGAATTTAAAGAAACATGCCACGACAATTTTTTTTTTTATAGTTGATGCATTCATAGATGTTGATTTACCTTTCAAGGAAATAGGNGGCTACGACAATTTTTTTTTTATAGTTGATGCATTCATAGATGTTGATTTACCTTTCAAGGAAATAGGNTTTTGTTGTACATTTTCAGAAGAAACCCACCCATACGAAAAGAACTCTTACAAAAGATCAGTAGTTAGACTTAAAACCTGCATTATGTACCATATAGACCATGTTATGCAGCTTGTCACTGTAAGTACTGAACCCTTTAACTAGTTCTCGTGGATGGCTGTGTTTCCTCTAAGGTGGATTAGAGGATGCCCTATGTTTTTTACATTGGGCCCTTTGTATAGTGTCATGGTCATGACACCAGCCAAGGAAACCAAGGTTCCAAGAATTTTGGCTATTCCACGAGGGCTTCGAATATCTAGAACCTCCAACCTGCATGAACTTGTTTTTTTCAGATAAATAATTGAAATAAAAATCTATATATGTCTGTGTGTGTGTGTGTGTTTATATATATAATTGTGTACATGTAAAGCTCTCATGGATTACCTGAGTATAACCGCCAATACAAAAGTTAAGGAAGCTATGGTGTTCACCATTGATGCAAGGAACGCTTGAGAGGTGAATCTTAAGCTTGCAAAATACATGTTTTGAGTCAAACCCACCCTGTGATCATTGCAAGAAACTTTTTTATTTTCCCATAGATGATCTAGAAACATAGATTCTTTGTGCTCTTACCCAAGAAGAGAGAGAACAAAGATCTCCATGAGTAGAGACAGTGTCAGCTTTGTTCTGCAGAAAAAGAAAATGATCATTATCTGTTTGGCTGACCTGAATGAAAATGTTTGAACTCATACATCAACTCCTCCTTTGTAAATGTAGTGGCAATTGCTAAGTAAGCTAGAACTGCAGTGTTTATTCTGTTGCTTTAGTGGATGGTAATTAAAGTAGACAATGCATGTTAGGAAGATTTAACATGATTTACAACATATACCATGCGAACATAAATTTCCATAAATGCATGCCTACTCAATTCCTATACTTGTTTCAGATCTGAACTATGTAAATACAGTAGATACCGAATTTAAAGAAACATGCCACGACAATTTTTTTTTTTATAGTTGATGCATTCATAGATGTTGATTTACCTTTCAAGGAAATAGGCAAAAGGTAACATTACTAGACCAGCTACAATATGTCTATAAGTGATGTAGACATGGGGATTCATTCCATGGTTGAAGGAAGCCTCTGTAATGAAGTACATAAAAGTATAGCCCATCTGAGCAAGAACCATAAGGATGTGTGGTTTGAACCTCTTGTAAGTTCCTTTAATTGAACATCCCTCTGTCGCCATTAGCACCCTATGAGTAGATAGTGATACAGAGGATTGTGGAAGAGTTGGATTTTGATTCTTACTTCATGTTGTTTGCATCGCATTCTTGTTAAATTCCTTGATAGCCTGAAGGTTTCCTGACTGAATGTCAGAATAGAAATTGAAGAATGGAAAAAGACATTCTCATGCAATTTTGTTATACGATCTCCTAAATTTTCATATACAAGTTGATTAGGAATTTAGAAAGAGGGAATGACAAAAAAATAGTCAGATCTAAAGTTTCAATCCTAGTAGAAGCAGGTCTTGCAAGTCACACTCTGGCTTATAAACAATAACCTTTTTTAACAAGAAAGAGTATATCTTTCAGATTATTCTTAGCCCTGGATGACATTAACAAGTCCATGAGGAATCATTCATCTATCCATGAGTTTATACCCTAGAAAACAACTAATTTCCACTGTTGTAGATATCTCACAAGCCATGAAAAAGATCACCCACAACATTTAGGCAATCAATCAGATGATTTGAATGTCTTTTTCTAAATTTATGTTTGCTGGGACTGAATAATTGCTACAATTTGCTCAATATCTTCTTTCATTTCTGTCTCGTTTGTTTTTCGTCTACAACTTCAGTCAAAATCTCGTCACTCTATACAAAAGTTTATGCTCTGAAATCCTTGAATTGAAAATTCCATGTTTATTTTGCTTTTCGGTTACTAACTTACTACCCTTGGCTGCATGAGTTGTGTTGTGGTTTTCTTTGGATATGTTTGAATGGCAGAGTTGGAGTGAATTGGATATCTAAAAAATATATCATTTTTATATATTTTTGTGGGGTCTATGGATAAGAGTGATGTAATTTATTTTCATAGACTATTATACCCTTATCCTATCCANCTATCTAATCCAAACCCACACAGCTGTCTTTCGGATAGAATATAAATTAGTATATCCAGTCATTTCCTCTATTTTTATAGATTATATATTTTTGTGGGATCTATGGATAAGAGTGATGTAATTTACTTTCATAAACTATTATACCCTTATCCTATCCAATCTAATCCACCAACATGTTTAGTTTATAAATTAGCCTCCAATATATTTCAAACTAAAAAATACACTTTTATATCTATTTTTTTAACAACTCATTCAAATATAAAATAAATACTTTTAAATATATCTTAACCATAAAAAAACAAGGGCGTATTACAATGAGCAAGGAAAAAGAACATCGACTTATTTGAGGTGATGATACAGGATATGCAGATCTCCCGACTTAGGGGTGAGTATATACATAAATTATATTACATGTCATGTCTAGCAAAAAAAATCACAACTCGCCTTTGGGTTTCATTTAACTCAATGTCAGTGGGTTAAAATTGATTTTTTAAATCGAGTCTTGATAAAATCCAAAGGAGATTTTCTCAATATTTTATACTTACCAAACATAGGATATACGGGCCTCACATTACATGCTTTTTTTTTTATTTTATCTTACCATAGTTGTCCATTTTTAACCCATGATCCAACACATACCCTTAATATATTCCTTAAGTATGGCAACATGTGCTTGGCTAGAATAGTTAGGTGCTTTCAGAGATTCAAATACATTCTAGTGAACAAAAATGGGGAGGGAGTAGAGAGGGGGGAAGATAAGTGGTTGAGAGTATTATTGTGATTGTGTATTGTTATATTTTAACCAACACCAATTTTGCTACACAATTGATCCAAANGGGGGGAAGATAAGTGGTTAAGAGTATTATTGTGATTGTGTATTGTTATATTTTAACCAACACCAATTTTGCTACACAATTGATCCAAATACCCAAGCATCCGTTTCATTGGAAGTTATAGAGAGGTTGATTTCTAAACTTAAACAGGTTGCATCTTGCTTGTGCACACACCCCTCCCCGACTCCAAGAAGTGAGAATATACTGAGAATGAGGCTTAGCTTGTTCCAGAGCTGAACAGAACTTTCCCAACTATGCTGTTTTGGGCATGGGTGAAGTGTACAAGGAGAGCGTATGAACAGGGACTTCAAAAGAAAAGATCTGATTGTGGGGCCATGAGAGGAGCAACAATCAAAGCAACTTTTTTGTCTCCGCTTGCATTGGTTTGCAACTTATACCTTGAAGACTACCGAATGGTCGGTTCAACGAGTAACAACTCGAATTTACTTGTTATTATTTAAGTTTGACTCTCTATAATTACAATAATTTTATGATTTTAAATTTATTTTTCAACACCACAGTTTCGGTTTTGATATAAGTGNTATTTACTAGTACTTCAGAAAACTTTCATTGTGGAAATGAAAACATTTTTGAAGTATGTTATCACTTGGTTCTTTTTCTAGACAAGCTTTACTGGTTAAAACAAATCAAAGATTAAAAAAAATNAAGTGTGATAAAATTTCTCCTATATAACTTTCTAGAGCCGAAGGATAATATTCTCTCACAAATTCGTAGAATGACCTNGTGATAAAATTTCTCGTATATAACTTTCTAGAGCCGAAGGATAATATTCTCTCACAAATTCGTAGAATGACCTATCTTCTTATTCATTTTAGATACCACAAAAATAAAAAATACCGTGAAAAAAAAATTATATTTTTATATCATACTTCTTTTTTTACTTAAAAACAAAAATACATGTAAAATTGCCTTATTATTATTACTAGGGCAAATGACATTTGCACCCCGAAAGATTGAAAAAAATTAATTTGTACTCTCAAAGATCAATTGTTTCAAATTGTAATCTCAATTAAATTAATTGGCAACAATGTGACCTCGATCATAACGTTCATTGTGATTTTCATCAAATTGACAATCACGTGAGATGTACGTGAAAAGAAAAAGGGTCAAAATCTAATAAAAGTTATTACGTGTATTTCACGTGACTGTCAATTTGATGAAAATTACAATTCTATCCACAAAGCCTATGCCGATTTTTATTGAATTGACAAGCACGTGAAAAAGAAAAGCATCATAATTCGACAAAAGTCATCACATGCATCTAACGTGGTTGGCAATTTGATAAAAAAATTGCAACAAACATTTTGGGTGAAATCACATTGTGACTAATTAATATAATTGAGAGTGCAATTTGAAACAAGTGATCTTTGAGGGTGTAAATTAATTTTTTTTAATCTTTCAGGGTATAAACTGCTATTTGCCCTTATTACTAGTAATGACTAAAAATAAACGGAAGCAAGAGCTAAAATTCAGTTTTTAGTATGATATCAAAAAATATATGGAATCCATTTAATGGCACACAACTTCCATGGCCACTCACTGTTCTCTCTCTCTCACAAGCTCAGAGAGAGAGAGAGTTCACGTACACGTGCATGCTCAATGATCCACAATCAACTACTTGATCAACATTAACATATATTTGATCAACACTTATATTTAGTTGCAGTGTAGCTACTGCCCCCAGGTAGAAAGACGCCTTAATCCAGCAGCCAAATGCTCTGTAGCACCCAGAGAGACAGATAGCATGTTGAAAAATTATCATCACGTACTTAAATTGAAAATCATTGATACCCAATGAGCTAATCAATTCAATGGTACCCACGGTTCATTGAAACAATTTTGCTTAGACTCGAGAACAAATTCAGCCACTAAACATTCAATTTTCCCAGCAAGAAGAACGGTTTTTCCACTCGTTTTTACTAGTACTTCAGAAAACTTTCATTGTGGAAATGAAAACATTTTTGAAGTATGTTATCGCTTGGTTCTTTTTCTAGACAAGCTTTACTGGTTAAAACAAATCAAAGATTAAAAAAAATACAACAGTGTCTCTATATGATGTCCCAGACAACAAAAGGTCTAACCTGCAGCCCAAATCCAAAACATGATTAGGGATGATATTGCTATCGTTATCCAACTCAGGAAGGCCAAGGCAACTGCCATTTGGTACTTTTGGCATTCCTCCCCAAAACCGCAATCTCCCAAGTCACTAAAGTACAACACTGTTATGCCGGCTGAGGAAGCAGCACCTGCAAGGGACAATGTTGCTGTGACCTGCCAACCAAATCATTTCCAAAATGATACTGATAAATGGCGACAATTGGAAGACAAACTTTCATTGGTCTACCTTGAAAAGTTCTGTAGGGGCTTACCCAGTCTCCGACAACAAAGAGGCTGACCAAAACAGGATTGTGGAGGACCTTCTTCTTTGCCAAGGCATAGGCATCCAAGAATGCAAGCCCGAAGCTCCAGATGACTAGCAAACCCATTGAAGCAATCAGGTAGCTACAAAGGCAATACGAGATGAGGCATTAAAACTTATTTATCAATGGTAAAGGAAAAATAGAATTTTGACTTGGCAAACATTTGATAAGTACTGAAGAAGTAATAAGGAAGTTCACAGACAATTTTACAGACAATTTTCCGATCAAACTACTGTTGTCTAAAATTCTTGACAAATCAAACAGAACAGGAATGCTTAAAAGAAAATATGACCAAAATCCCAAGAAAGAGCAACTAGATCTTCATCATGCATTTGGAGATTTAAGGTATAGCACTTTAGCTATATGTGTATAGCTGACATGAGGTTGTAAAAATGAGAAGGGGCACCAGCTTGGAACTTAGAGCTGATTCAGTTTGTGGCTAGATGTGAGAAGTCAACAGAGAAGCTCGTTCCTATGTGCTAAGGCTAGTGTTTGAAATCAGAACAAAGTGATAGAACTTTGATGCTCTACAAGCAATTATAGCAAGATGGTAAAGGCAGTCATGGAGATGTATGCGGACATGGATTCATTAAAAGCCAAACAAATCACCTGAAAGCTATAATTTAGCTCTAGATGGCAAAATGGTTAAAAAAAATATAATAAAAAAGAGAACATGCAGTAATTGCAAATTGTTGGGCTGGGAAATTGTTGAGTTTTCTCTCTTAGAAAGCTAGCAGTTACAAGGTTTCCGCTTCATGAAAAGTCAGGGCTTGAATAGTTTCAGCAGAAGACCAAACTTTGGATGACATATCCATAGATTAATTTTTTATTAAAGGCACTAGACATTTGACCGATAAGAACATGAAATTAAAGTCAGGCTAAATTCACTGAATTGTCACCTCATTCCTATTTTCATTAGCTAAATCTTTTTCCTAGAATCATCCAACCCGTATGTCATATCAGTACGCAGAAGGATAAAAATGCCCATCATGCCTGTGTTCTGTTCATTCAGTGGGATCAAAAAAGAATTTCAAATTTGCTACATTTCCTCCCAACTCAGTTATTCTGATTCAATGAGGATAAAATTAGTGTCTTGTTCCCAAGGTATTAATTTTGATTCTGTTTTGAACTCCTTTTTATCGATGAACTTACCACTTGCATACAAGAGGATGCCCTGATTAAATGAAGAGGTATAGAATTGTGTATTGATGCTTCAGCATGAAAAGATGTCTGACTATGACACAGAAAACCAAATCATTTGGATAATCATACTAGCAAGCTTCACATAAAGATTGATGGCCTAGGAAATAGAAATACATTCCATCATCAATATCTTCAACATCTACAACCAATAATCCACGGGCAGGAGTCTAAGAAAGGTGGTGCTACAGAGAGAGAGAGAGAGAGAGAGAGGAGGTCACATTTTCACATATTAGGCCAGTGGCATGTATCTTTCATATCGAAGGGGAAGTACTATTAGGAAGAAACAAATTGTCCATTTTTATTTCCTATTGTGCGAGTCACTGGAATTTGGATGTTGACATAATATTGTGGCAAGACAAATTAACAAACTAAAAGTGACCACGTTCATGAGCAGCATCAATTAGTGATAAAAAGAGAATGGTTGAGATGGTTCAGCCATCTGCAATAAAAAACAGCAGCTACACTAGCAAAGAAAAGTGATATGGTTCATGTCAAAGTTGTTGCAAGGAGACAAACAACTCTTGATAGCTTGTGGGTATTCAGAAAATACACACTGGCATGCAATTTTACACTTGTGGGTTCCATTTAGGTTAAATGATGAAATCACGAGTGTGGAATATGGGATAGCCATTTTAATTGAGTAAGTTCGGCTTTCATGACTTGAGGTCTCAAGCAGGTATTTTGTCTCTCGCCATTGCAGATAAAAAACTACCTGTTGTACGTGGTAACGTAGTCTGATAGCCACAGTTTTGTTTATGCAAGGAAACAAAAATATATTTCTTCATAGCAAACATTGCATTAGAGAAGCACATATGGTTTTTCACAAATAACATATCCAGCTCATCAGAGTATCAGATGCAAATGCATTATAGACACCAGCTAGATATGGCATGAAATCATGTCAGAGTTGTCCATATGATTGCTCATAACAACCTAATTCTCTCAATGATTTCCAAAAAAACCACCAGAAGCAAAAAGAACCATGAAATGAGAGCAATACCAACTATTTCTGCAGCATAAAATATGAGTAATGGTCTACTGTAATACTAGTTATTTATAGATCAATAAACCAAGCTCAGATTTCTATAACAAATAGAAGCACACAACCAGCCCAACTTTTCTGACCCTTTGGATGCTTTTGGTTATCAGGGCACCCTTTCCATACACCTGAATTAACATGGTGAAAGTAGCTACTTCAAAAGATAAAATGTCATTTGTCATAATGTTCCTCCTTTTTCCAAAGTTATAGGAACTTATTATGTTCATTATATTACTGTCTTAGAAGTATACTCTTTCTGCAAAGTAGACTCCCTAAAAACGACACAACATGGATAAAATTAAGGAATGAAACCAAGGTGCAAACAAGCGTCATTTGCCAAAGAACTTGCACAATCACAACCCTGTTTTACTCCAAAAACAATCATCAAGTATGTAAATAAGTCCCTATCAAGCTCAACAATATGAACAAAGCTAATTAAGGCCAGCTTGGATAAATTGATCATCATAAATGTCAAGGGATATAGGTACTTATGGTGTGGTTTTCTGTTAAGACAAGTTTTATTTAATTTTTAATTATATGGGGCAATTGATTTCACAGTTTCAAAGTACAAAAATGGAAAATCCCAAAATTAGGATTGATGAAACCATTTCAGGTGCATAACACAATACTAGATTTTAACAAACTTTACCAAATGGGTCTTAAAGTTCACATGCATAACAATTATTCATATGTGAAAAAAGAAATAACAAGAATAAAAAGGATGAGTTGGGAAAGAAAAATTACCAAAAAGCTGTGAAATTGAAGAAGGTTTTAGTAGTGGCCATAGAAGCAATTGAACCAACTGCAAACAAACACTGTGACATCCTAAGAATAAACCCAGTTACTGTCCCAGGAGTCCCAGCAAAATCTTTCATTTTTCTCTTTCCAGAACAAAGAAAATTTCAAATTCTTAATGGGTCACTGGAAGCAACCAGCAATTACCATAATCCAAGCATATCACTACCCATCAAGAAAACCATAATCCAAGACCTTTTCATTCACCCTTTAGAAGATAAAAGCCAAGATATGCAAACTAATAAAATCCTTAGACGTAAACAACCATTAAAGCACAAATTTTCGAAACCCAAAGGGAGAAAAGGAAAAAAAATACAAAATTACTGCTACCCAGAAGTTCAAATTCACGAATTTATAAGAATTTGTTTCTGGGTGGCAAAAATAGTAGAGAGAGAGAGAGAGAAGAGAAGAGAAGAAGCAGGCGTAAGAGGAAGCAATGATAGGAACAGCTAAACATAAAAGGGTTGTCAGATTCAGTGATTATCTATACCAAACTGCTTTACTAAATCTCCCAGCAAACATCAACAGTCAATAAGCGTGGGCAGACCGCGACATAGTGCAATTATCCTACGCTCTTTGAAGGCGCTTGTTGGGGACTGCCCAATTATGGTTATACTGCTGGTCCTGTGTGAATGGTATTGAATGAGACGGGTTTGTCTCACAAAAGACTATTACTTCTTACAAATAACATCATAGTCTATTTCTATTTTGGGGATAACAGATTTACTAATTCTTTGGTTCCAATTTGTGAGGGCGATTTTGAAATAAAAAATAGATCCAACAAGTTAAAAAAAAAAAATCCTAACTCTCATGATTTCTAAAGTCGACAGAATGTTGTTGGTATTGACACGTAGAATAAATAATGAATATGAGCGTAATTGAAATTTTTTGAGAATTATATATTTATGTATTGATAAAATCCTTCTAGAGAATATGGGAAAATCAGAATAGGAGAGCACTCATCTTATTTGATTGATTTNATTGACACGTAGAATAAATAATGAATATGAGTGTAATTGAAATTTTTTGAGAATTATATATTTATGTATTGATAAGATCCTTCTAGAGAATATGGGAAAATCAGAATAGGAGAGCACTCATCTTATTTGATTGATTTATTAATTCATGTTAAATAAATAATATTATATCGAGTTGGTATCGTGTTATTTTTTTAATTGATTTCACTCATATTTGATTTATTTATTAATCGTGTTATATCGGGTCTACTCATTTACAAAATCAATTATTTAAGAAAAATCTAAAACTTCTATGATAATTTATTTTATTTTCGGCATCTCTAAGNGAGTTGGTATCGTGTATATTTTTTTAATTGATTTCACTCATATTTGATTTATTTATTAATCGTGTTATATCGGGTCTACTCGTTTACAAAATCAATAATTTAAGAAAAATCTAAAACTTCTATGATAATTTATTTTATTTTCGGCATCTCTAAGTTAAATAATGATAATTTAATTTATTTTCTTTATACCACCATATCTCCAATTGGATGAGTGTTAAATTTTTTTTTATTTAGTTGTTTTTTAATCAATTGTTACAGACAACTATTTCAAAATCAACGGCTGGAAATAAATTTTAGTCAATACGGAACTGATACCTAGTGTCATCTGTCAATTATTTCTGGGACATTTCCTGAATGTTTGGCGCGCTACCTGAAAATGGATGTAACAGAACTCCGCGGTACGAAAAATAAAATTCAGTATTATACCTTTAAAATTTTTAGGGTATTTTTATAATTTTTGTGAATTATTTTATAATAAAAAAATTTATTATTTTTATGAATAATTTTATTATTATTGTGAGTATTTTTATCATATTTATGATAACTTATTTTATTATTTTTGTAAATATTTTACCACATTTGTCGGTATTTTTACTACTGTTATAATACCTATTTTTCTTATTTTTTTGGGTACCACAACGATAATAAAAATATCTAAAAATATAATAAAAACAAAAACAAACGTGAAATGGAGGTATGGTAACAAAAAAAAAAAAAAAGAGTACCATTGTTTACTCCGAAGAATTTAACTAATTTTTTCGTTTACTAATATGGCTATTACAAATGTGCCTGTCACTTTATACTTTGGAATATACTTCATCAACCGAACATCCTTATTTACTTTTTAAAAGTAGCTATGTAACAAGTCAGAATCACAAAAAATCTATTGTGTATGAATTTAGATTCTCTGAATTTTGGTGATTTTTTTTTTAATTTTTGGGTCTAGGTTTGAATCGATTATTCTCTTAAGCTCTGAGACCTTCTATTATAACTCGAATTAATTAAAGATATGTCTTCTAAGGAATAAGGGTAGTTAGTCTTTCGAGGGGGTGAAAAATTTAAGATGACATTTTTAACCATTATACCAACTTTAAGGATTAAAGTGAAAATAGTGGATGGAATCTCAATTCAAATCGCGTCATCTTTGAATTCCTTTGGAGTTTGGCTAATGGTAGCCAACAAATTAATTCATTAAACTTGACCAATATCTAAGAAAATTTGAAAATAAGAGAATTCAAATTCTTTTTATTTTAGGGTTAATAATATTTTTGGTCCCTAAAGTTTATCCGTTTTATCAGTTTGGCCCTCATTGTATTAATTTTGTTAATTTGATTCTTAAAATTTTAAATCGTGTCACTTTGGTTTCTAATCAACCAATTCATTATGTTTTTAATTAAAGTGACTACGTGTCATTCTTTCAGACGATATTTCGTGACCAATACGTGATCATTATGATAAAAAATTTAATGATACATCTATTTTAGGGTCATTTAAACACAAATTAAATATTTTAGAGACCAACTTAATAAAATTGATACTTTAAAAATCAAACTGACACAATATGCTTATTTTAAGGACCAAAAACACTATTAACCCTTTATTTTATGTTCATCGAGACCAAGTGCATTGTCGTGGGAACTGATTTGAAGTTTAGAGGAGTATTGTTAACTTTACTAGGGATTTCGCATCTTCTGGTAATTGTCAGTGGGTTCAATTCTATGTCTGCTCTCTAATGAAACCATTTTTGTATCCAAAACCCTTTTAATGCATTTATAAGCTTCAATTCCTATTTTGAAAGATCTTCCACCATTAATAAGTGTGGAACTCGTTGTTTATATACAATGAGTTTCACTTGAAAGTATAATTGATGTTATGCCAATAATAGATGATATCTCACTCAATCTTTTATTGTTGTTGACGATTTTTTACATAATTTTGAGATAGTAGGACTCTCGTTGACACTTGAAAGATGTTATTTGGTTGGGGAATGACAAAAACCTATCACTCACAAAGAAATGTTAGAAGGGAAGTCGGAGGTGTCTCGATGATTCCCCTCCGATGCTAAAATTAGTTTTTGATGAGGGAAGAAAACTCAATGTATATGCTGAGTTTTTAGAGCGTACTTCTCTCTTTTGTCCAAGACCACTATTTATGCCTTCTTAGCGGGCGAGTGTGGCTATCGAGTACATCCGCCTAGTCCCTTTTGGGGAGAGGACCCCTCATTGGCTCACACCTGGGATAGGAAGAATGTTCCTTTGATCTAATCAAGTGGCCAGGCATCAAACAAAATGTCTACTTTACCTCGATCCTTGATCCTCGATCTTTCACATGCATGTCCATCTGATGCATGTTAATGATATTAATCCCTCGGCATCCAAACTCACGTCGTGCATTCACTGTGAGACCTAATGCTTGATGCCATGCTTTGCAAGAATAAATACTAGGCGCAATGTACTATGCTGATAATTTATTACCCTCCATCTTTGCCTCCTGAGCATTTAATATTTCTCAGTTACTTGTCATATGTTCATCGGGGCCCAATGTACCATCCTACATAGCCTGAATAATTGGGATGGTGGACCACACCTGCTGACAACCAAACGCAAATATTCAATAGACATTCCTTCATTTACTTTCAGGTGGGCACTCCCGTAGTCCCACCAACGTAGGATTATTTATTGATAATTATATTCCGTCAAGCCGATTGACATGGTTGGCATACAAGGTCAATCATTCCTAAAATCCTCGGTCTCGTTCGTGCCGAGATCATAGTCTTCTCGACGTTAATGTTCTTCAATTCAGAGAACATAGTTTCTTCGTCCGCATTTATGATAACGCCGATGAAGTTCTAATACTTGTTGTGTTTCATGACAATGCTGAGGGAACCTTTTCTCTTGAGATCATCCTTTAAAGGCTGAGCAGACATTACTTATGCAGTTATTGGCTGAGTGCGCCACGTGTCCACCTCTGATTGGTTTGATAGGTCACATCCTGTCAGCCTCCCCCATCCTTTAATATTCTTACGGAAGAGGACATGCGTCATGCAAATGTGAAAGTGTGAAAGACTTTCTGATAATACACAAATCGATTTTGTGAAAAATTAAGAATCAAGAATGTGTAAGGGGTGCAATTAATAAGCAATAAACAGACAATGAATGACAAAACAGTAAATAATAGCAAATACATAAATTTATAGTGATTCGATTCGGGTGACCTACTCCACTCTCGGGAACAACAACGATAGCTGGAGGTATTTTATTGATGAATAATGTAATCGGGAGAGTAACTCCGGGTGTATTACAAAGCTTGGGAGAGAGAGAGAGAGAGACAATGTGTGTAGAGAGATATGTGTGACGTCTGAATGTCTTCTTCTTTATGTGGAGAGGGCTTTCATTATATAGATTTAGTAAGGCGGTGAGGCACTGATGTGAGGGAGAGTGTTTTTTCTATTTTGATAAGTACAATTATGGCAGGATTAGGCCTTTGTGCGTATCTCGATATTCTCTCCCTAATACTCCTATTCAGTCGAAGAAGGATCCTAAGCTTGGACTTCAGTTGGTGGGTGTTGGACTTAAATTGGAGTGACAGAGTTAAAAGGGCGAAGAACTCCACGAAATTACACAGCAAAGGGAGCCTGGGACAAAGGAGGGAGAGGATCCCCTTGGGGTGGCCTCCCTTGGGCGGCACCCTTTGGGTAGCCCCCCTTGGACGATGCCCCGTAGGGTGTCCCCCTTGATTTTGATTTTCCCTTAATTTGAGCTCCTCTTTGATTTGTTGACTTGAGCTTTGAGGTGACGTGAGCCTCTCTTGATTGATTGAGCTTAACCCACTTAATTTCGAGTTCATCACTTTCTTATGACAATTTTTTGGGAGTCGTCATGTCGTATTCCCGCCATTGATTTTGAATCCAGCAGTTAATGGCGTCTCTTCATGTTCTATGCACAATCATATCCTCTTCCCTTTATAAGGAGACCTTCTCTCACCGGTTTCCCTTCACCCGAGCTTCAAAACCTGCTACCCTAAGCATTTTTCGCGTTTTTTGTGCATAGCCATACCCTATACTCAAGTTTGCTTACGCAAACAAAATACATAATGCCATCATTCAATTAAATTAAATCGGTGGCCAAGGACC